AGAGATGGTCGATTGGTTAGGTTGGGATTTATGGATTCAAAGCTTTCTTTCAGTACTAAATTCCGATAGAATTTCGAGTAATAAATGTTTATTTTTTAGGCTATAAACCATATAAAATCACGTATTCATCAGATTATTTTGATCAATTATATGAATGGGCAGTTGTTCTGATTAAAAAAGGCTTAGCATATGTTTGTCACCAAGCTGCTGATGAAATCCGTGGTTTTGAGGTAACCGTATCACCTTGGCGTAACCGTCCAGTGGAAGAATCTTTGCAGCTTTTCGAGGTAATTTTGTTTTATTTCTATATATTAAAAGAAATCGCTTTGACACTAAATTCCGGTACATAATAAGGCATAATATGATTTATCGATATTGTGCAATGTTTATTACTAAAGTGGAAAAAATGTGCCACTCAGATATTTATTTATGTTTCTGCTAGACACGCTCAAGTATCATTGTCGCGAGGAAGTTTTATGAATTACTGCTGAAGTTTGAAGATTAGATTGCCGAAAGTTGTGAATTGAATTATAGGATATGCGGCGCGGTAAATTTAATGAAGGCGAAGCAACATTACGATTAAAAATTATTTTGGAGGAAGGTAAAGTGGATCCGGTAGCTTATAGAATTAAATATTGTCCTCATCATCGCACTGGAAATAAATGGTTTGATTTATGTCTGATGTTTTATGTAAACTATATCCTGTTGATTTTTAAGCTTTTAACTATTTATTGTGTAATCAGTTGTGAATGCTAAGTATGCATTGTTATTTAGGTGTGTTTATCCAACATACGATTTTACACATTGTTTGTGTGATTCGTTAGAAAATATAACGCATTCTTTATGTACCAAGGAATTCCAATCAAGGTGAGTTTTGTTCCAATTTTATTTCCATTAAGGTTATGTTGTTTTCTTCCATATTTCTTTTTGTTTTTAAAACACTTTTCAGTAATCTCTGATAAGTTTCTGTAAGGTATTTTAATACTAAACACTTTATAGACGTAGCAGTTATTACTGGCTCTGTAACAGCCTAGATATTTATTGTCCAGTGCAATGGGAATACGGTCGTTTAAATATGAATTACTCTGTTGTTTCTAAACGAAAAATCAAAGCATTAATCGACAATAAAATTGTCAGGTATATCATTATTGTGTTACATAAAGACATTACATTATGTACTTGTTATATTTCAAATACTTAGACTAATATATCTTTGTTCTGCAAATGTAAAATCAAAATTCCGTTTCATCCATATTTTTATAGATAGTGTAGCATAATTAACTGTAATATTTATCATCAATAAATATTTTTACAGTGATTGGGACGATCCAAGATTGTTTACATTGACAGCATTACGCCGACGAGGTATTCCTCCAGAAGCCATCAATAATTTCATTATAGGTCTAGGCCTTACCACAGCACAAACCTTTATTGATCCGCAAATGTTGGATGCCACCGCACGTGATTATTTAAACAAAAATGCGCCAAGGTACACAGTTTTTCAATAAATTTTCGATTTCAGATTTCCATTTTTTTTTCTGTGGTTCCATTTTTTCTTTTTATTTAAAAAAATTTTTGAAAAATCTACGTTGAAATCATTGGAAAAGTATAAAAAATTGAACAGTATGACTTTTATCATTGTCCATTTCCATACTGATTTGGAAAAATAGAAAATCTGTTTAAATTAATTGTAAATGGAACTTTCCAAATTGCTCAAAATTTATCGGTTAACCTGTTCAAAAATTGCGAATTTTGTTATTGATGTAATTTAGAACGATGGCTGTAATGGATCCACTAAAAGTAATTATTGATAATTACGATGAATTATCGCTACCGTGCAGTTTATTAGTGCCAGATTTTCCAAATGATCAAATTCGCAGCGAACAACAACATGTAATTGCTATAGATCGTGTTGTTTTCATCGAACGATCGGATTATCGTGAGGTAAATTTTTTTTTATTTAGAGTGTAATCTGTAAATGTTTTCTCATGTTAATAATAAGTATTTTTTTCTAAATTAAAAATAAAGTGAAAAGAGTTGTTGTTTGCAGGGTGAAGTGGATAACAATTTTCTTCGATTAACGAAGAATAAATCAGTTGGTTTGAAATATCTTGGGATCGTTATATCTCTTATCAATGAATTACGGGTATATTCTCATACAAAATTTTTAGCCCAGTTGTAATGGTCCAAAAAAGTTGCAAATAAAAATGCTTGAAGCTTTTCTGCTAGGAAGAAGTATGCTATCAGATTCTACTACTAGCCATGATAAAACAGTTGGTACACCTGAAATTATTGCAATGTAAGATGTAGGTGTCTGACATCAGATAAATTATTAGGTTTTGTTAATATACGTTATCATTAGTTAACTTTATGCAACAAATGTCTTCTGATTTGTTCCAGAATGACAACGGAGAGATAATAGAATTGGCGGTCAAGGCATCAAAACTTACTTCTGAAAATAGACCAAAGACATATTTACATTGGGTAGCAAATCCAGCTCATTGTCAAGCTCGAATGTACGAACGACTGTAAGTTTTCCACACATTTAAACATCTTTTAAGTTATGGCCGTCAAAAATTGCAACATTTAAGATAGAATACCCTTTCATAAGATTTTCGTAACAAAAATCAGTAAGTGGAATAGTTAGTTTTTTTCCTGATTATTATTTTATTTCAGATTTCGGCATAAAAATCCGGAGGATCTGAATGAAGTTCCTGGTGGATTTCTATCAGATTGCAATGAGGTATCAATTATTTGTATAATTATGCATAATTGTAGAAATAGGTTCTTTTCCTAGGTTCATATGATTACGGATCAAGGGGATGATAATCTTGCTTTATTGGGTTTTTTAATAATCTAACATTGACTTTCACCCAAGATTTCTGTTACTTTTATAAAGAAACAAAAGGATTTTTATTTTATTTTAAAATTCTTAATTTTAAAAATTCAGTATGCTATGTTTATTTCTTATATGTGATGACAACAAGTAAATATTATAGAAATCTATTAAAAACCAATATAATGTTGGTATACTATTAGTCATCTCAAGTTCACTCCAGCGTTATTTAGAATTCACTACGCATTGTGGAACCAGTATATATAGATAGATCAATTTCAAATTCGAAAGTCTATGATCGATATCAGTTTGAAAGAATTGGATTCTTTTCTGTGGATCCAGACAGTACGTCTGAAAAGGTACGAGTGACTGCTATTTATTGAAGTCACATAATAAAAGGCTTTTTTTTATTAATTGAGATTTCTGTTTATGTTTTATGATTACTAATGTAATAATTATTTTACATGTGAAGTAGTCTGAATTCATACCGGATTAGTATCGGATAGTGTTTATGTCATTATCAGACGGTATGCTAGGTTATAATTCAGATAAGCTCTATGAAATGAGAAGTTGTTATTAGGTAGGTAAGAAAATTTTTATAGGGGTATCCTTTATAAGGTTATTTATAAGGGTTTCTACTGTAAAAGCAATAAATAAGGAACTAATATGATCATTTTCTTTTTTTCTTTTTTTGGCCAAAAATGTGTACTTAACAAATTTGTTTGCATTTCATATCTTTCAACTAATTGGTATGATTTAATGAGAGGCGTAGTCATTTATTATTTCCAGTTTTTTTATTTTTACTTAATTTGAATGATATAAATATGCTCACTTAAGAAGCAGTCAGTGTATAAGCAGCCACTGAGTTAACTTTAAAATATTATGGTAATGCCCTTAGTTGCGTCTTTCGAGTATTTCTTTGAAAGGAGTTTATTTCAGTTTTATAATTCTATTTTCAGCTTATATTTAATCGTATAGTGGATTTGAAAGGCGACGTAGTGAAGAAGCGATTATAACAAAGGTGCTAGAAGAGGAATAGAAATAATTTTTGAAGTTTAGCATTTGGCAATTCAATATTTATCTGTTTAATGTTTAAAAAAAAAGCGGAAAAAAGTGATATAAGATTATGAAAATTAAATGCATTGAATTTTATTTTATCTGTATTTTGAAATTTTAATTTAAGCTTTCAATGTATATATGTGTTCATATATATATATATAAAGAGAATTTATGACTTTTTTTTAAAAGTGTGGCATAATTATACTTAGGCTATTGTTACTACCATTACGCTTTCGTTAAAATTTAAAGTTATACGAAGCGATATTTATTCTTTTCGGGAAGAAGCAATTATGAATTTGTATGTTCATCTCACTAATATGCTAATTGTATATTACTGAAATGATATTATTCAATTATTGTCGTTGTTGATTTTGTTAAAATTTTCAAATATTTTCTAGCATGTTGCTAATGTGTTGTTATTGTTTCTTTTTTCTAATATAAGATAGTTTTTTTTTTAAAAAAAAAAAAAGCAAATGAGATTATTAGGAAAATGAAATATGTTGTATGCATTTTGATTAAATTATAAGTGACGTATGTCCAGTGCCTCTTCACAAATGTCGTTTGATGATTATTATTCAGGAAGGATTTTTTTTTTTTTTGTTAAACAGTTCCAAAAGTTATTGTCAGAGTACACTTTCAATTATCATACGATGTTTTGCTGAAGAATAAGACATAAAAAGGATAAAAATTAATGGTTACTAAAAGATATCAGATTATGAGAGGATAAGATGGATTTTTTTTTTCCAATTTTTTTTATTATCAGGAAAGTGGAGTATTTTTTGTTGTTGTTTTTTCAACCATTTTTCTTTTTCTCCCTGTTAACGATAGATTAATGTTAGTTTATGATGTTAGCTTCATTAGATAATTTAAATGTGAAAAATTTATTATTAAAGTGATAAGGAAGGAAGCCGGATGATATCTCTTGAAAGAATAATGAAAGTAAGATATGAACAAAAATCTAAGCAGTTCAGAGTTTTCATCTTTTACACACTTTTTTTTTTTTATTTTCTGGATTTAAAAAACTGGGAAAGTTAGCCTGAACAACTAACTTTACTACTTGTTTAACTTTATTAACTTTTGACTATTATTTCTGTTATCTTTAGTTATGTTAAAACGTTGGAGTCTTTTGCGTTATTTATTTGCATCTTTTGAACCGAATGCATCGTATTTACGCTCTCATACAATAAATAAGAAACAGTTATGGACAAAGGCTATTCAATCAAATTCATTAATTGCCAGGTTTTATTTTCATATTGCAAATTATAGTTATCTCATTATGAACTAATTAGTTGATCAAGGAAAAAAAATTAAGTCTGAAAATCATGTATATATGAGAGGAAAGTAAAAAATGAGATGAAAATGTTTGTCTTCCCTAAAACAGTTTATTTTTATGCAAATTTAATTTTTAGAATTTTATTAAATAATGTTTGCGAAACTCTAAGAAAGTCAATCCGTTTAGAGTGCTATGTATGCAGCCAACTAAACATTTTGCGGATACAACTAATCCATTACCGCCAACTGTTGATTCAACAACTGTGGTACGAAAACCGGTTCGAAGACGTAGACCTCTAACTTCAGTTTATGATTCGACGGTTTATTTTTATCATTAATTTAAATCATTTAATTTTTAGTATGCGAAAACATATTGAGTAAAAGCGTTTTGGTAATTGTTGGATTAAAATTTATTCGCTTACGAGTCGAATAAAATTGCTAATAGTTTGTGAAGTTTGTATGAATTGTTTCCTTACACTAAAACTATCGAATGTGAGAGCATTGAGATGTGCTTTCTAGTGATTAATTAGCATTTAGTATATGTTTTTTTCTATTTCAGTATCCAACAGGACCGGAAATTATTGGTGTAGCAATGGCAGAATCCTTCAGATTGCTTGATTTACTCGATGATGATCATTTGTTCAGCTTATATAATTGTACGCATATCGATGAAGGTATATTTAGTTTATTGATACAATCGAAATAATTAAAATTAATTGAAGTAATTCTATTTTAGTCAATCTTATTTAATAGTTAAACTGGTCGAGCAAATTGGGCAAAATGATCTTACTGTTTTTTTTTTTTTTTTTACAAATGTCATAGCTCCAAAAATTTCTTCTTTTATTCTAGCAATGAAATTGGTTACATTTTTAACTTTTATTTTGACCTTATTTTCTTCTCACATATACATGTACTCTAGTTCTGTTTTTATTTTTTGATCAGTTAATTAACTGTTGATGGAATCTTTCTAGTTATATTAATTTAGCCTTATTTGATATTTAAAAAACCACTGTAAACATTAATGATCATAAAAAATTATTATTGAACGTTAGTGTGAAATTCTTATGAGCTTTTTGTTGTTGTATTTGTTCATCTGAAATTTAACCGATTATACTTTTTGTATTTTTTGTTCGCCCTTTTGTAGATTAGCTACTGAAATTTGCAAACATATGTATTTCTATCAGTGTTTTCGACAGTTCTATGAAATTCAGTGCATTTATTCAAAAAGTTCTAAAATTTATTTTTCTTTTTTCAGAAATTGATGATGGTTTACATTTTGTGCCAAAACCACAATATATTATTGATCAGAATGCAATTAAAGAATTCTTTTTGTTTGCTGATGGTGTTGTTGTCTTTTGGGGCATTAATCAAATTGAGGTAACTGTTTTATTTCTCTTATATTGAAACAATTGTTATTATCAGTATCATTTTCAAGTAATTCCGGTATATTAACGAGAAAATTATTGAAAATTACAGTATTTTCACTCATAAAAAATTATTTTAATTTTGAAACTTTATTTTTTTTTGAATTGTAGCGTAGCCAAATAATGGATATTTTGTCTCAATATACAGAATTGCCATATGAAGCATCAGTTGTTCTTGAAGAAACCGATACCTTATCATTTCGTATGGTAAAAGAGTAAGGAAATTTGTACATTAAAAAGTTTTTGGAATAAATAATGTTAAAGTATGCCATCTTCTTTCCTTGCTATATTCTCACATATTTCGTAAAAGTTGAATTTTGTCAGTTTTAAACGATAATTATCGTTATTCGTTCATATGATTTACTCATTAATACCATTATTTGGTTTCATGACTTATTCTAATATCTTGCTTATGTTTAATTATATATCTCTTTTGCAATTTTGTATGTATTGTTTTACTTTTTTATATACTTATATATATATATATATGAAACTAATGAATGGAAATGGAAACAATAATTTCTTTTTTAAGAGGTGAAACACGATTGAAAGGTGAACAATTACTACTTAATTTTGCTAATTATTTGGATGGACATTTTTCGTCTTTAGCAACTTTGGAGCGATTTGCTTTCTCTCATGGAATGGCTGCATCAGGTGAGTTTGAGTCCCTTTTTCTTTTTTATCATAATATTGGAGGGAGACTTTACATTAAAGTATCTGAAATGTTTACATAAGAAAATGTTTGAAAAGGAGAAATGAATGGCATAAAACCTATATGAAAACTCACTTAGCATATATTAAAATGTTCTAATCGATGATAGTACTGCAATTAATAGTGTTCAATTTTATGGTTTCTTCAACGATTTTTTATTTTTGAATTTTACAAATCTTTTAATTTTGAGAATTACAGATTAATATTTCTTGTCGCATTTATTAGGAGTAACTTTCCTAGATAAACATTAAGTTCTAATTTCAGTAAAAGTTGCAATATGGGAAGCACAGTTGTTGGAATATGCTGAACCGCTCGCCAAAGCTTCAAAAGGACTTAGTATTGGTAAAATTCCTTTGAAGCGAAAAAATGTACTAATGCAAACTGGTACTCTGTTATCACTTAGGTGAGCAAGCAATTCCTCCTCCTATCATTTGAAATTTTTTTTATATATGTTATTTCCATTTTTGCTGTTATCTGTTCTATTATTATTATTATTATTTCGATTTCTTACTTTTAATTTTAGTTTTTGTCTGACTTTTCCGTATATGTTTCATACTTGCTCTTATTCAATTGTTGTAATTGACAAAAGATGAGACATTAATTGTAGACACAGTTTATATTTCCTGGATAATGATCATATAAAGTTAGTAATGATAAAAGTAATGGTAAGAGTAATGAGAAAAGTAAAGATATGAATGATAGATCTTTACTTTTATCATCACTCTGTTTTCCATTGATTTCTAACTGCTTTTGAAGTGTGCTTAAATTGTTAAATAACTCTGTTAATTAGGTTATTACACTTTCTTAGAAATTTTTATGGTATTATATTTTTTCTTTCATTCCAGACATTCAATTAATTTAAATACGAACTTGATCGATTCCGATTTTTATTGGGAAAAACAAGACTTGGAACCATATTATAGAATGGCTTTAAAACATTTCGCTGTTGCGGGTCGGCGAAGGTACTTTTGATTAATTTTTATTCTTAATGAGATCTTTTCGTGTTATACTTCTTTGTTGATTTCAAAAACACTATTTTGAAATTCTTTACTTTTTTTTTGCGTGTGTGTGTGTGTGTGTATTGCTTTTGGAATGAAACAACTACTTTTTCAGAATGTTAAACGCGCAGTTAGATTATTGCAGTGAAATATTGAAAGTGGTGAACGGTATGCAAACTCATAATTGTGTATGTTTTTTAATTTTTGTTGAATTTTCATAAGAAGTAGCATTAGTCAGAGATAGTTTCGTAATACTTTTGACAATAATTAATAACAATAATAATAATAATAAATAATCATAGTATATGATAGTAATAAATAATAATAATAATAATAACAGTAACAGTGACGATAATATTGTTTACAGAATTCTTCCATCTTTTAATAAGTTGCTTCTATATTGTGATTAAATAAATTTAAATTTTAAAATAAATTATTTTCCAAGTAAAATATTCCCGTTGAAATTAGTAACTTTACAGATTATAATTGTATTAAAAAATTTCAAAATTTCAGGAAGCAAGATTAGAATGGATGATTATTTATCTTATTGTAATCGAAGTATTCTTCGCAATAATTGATCATTTTGGTTTTAATTTGGGTCCTGCACAAAAAGTTCATATAGATAATTGTGAAGAATTAGTAAGCGGTATCAACGAAGCATTACAAAAACATCGATAATCAGTGAAATTTTATGTTATGTCTATTTCTCTCTTGCTCTCTCTCCCTCTCTCTTTTCTTTTTTTGGTTATTATTTCGTGATAATATATTATGATTATGATAATTCATTGTAATTACTGTAATTATTTCTCCCTCAATTTATCATGATTAATTACTCTTTTGCTATCTTTTAGTTTTATTTTTTTTTCTGTAGATTTCTTAAAATGTTTTAATTAGTTCATGGTATTATCATAGCCGAGTGAAATTTCCATAGTGATATTATCATTTGTTGCTAAGTTATCATAGTTATATTTTTAATTTCAAAAATTTTCTGTTATTTTTTTTTTCTAGTTTTAACTTATATTTATTGTTTTATCGCTATTACGATTGCATATTGTAGCTATCATAATTATCATACTTTGTTATCTCATCATAATTTGTTATAATGATATTTTCTTTTTTTTCTAGCTAAATTTTGTTGCAATATTCTTGTTTCATACTTAGTATTACATGTGAAGATCATAGAATACTTTGAGATAAAAGATTGCAATGATCGATCATTTATTGATTATTATTCTATCGATCATTATGAATAAGTAGCTAAGGAAGTTTTTAATATCTGAGAATTTAGTAAAATTTTGGTGATAGCATTAAATATCACTAAACAATGATTCAATTTATTCGATTTATGTTGTTGACATTTGTTAAACATATATGATTTATGTGAAATTATCAAGTTTTTTCTTATTGTTATTGTGCTAATGCTGAAATGTTTATTTAATTGTTTGCAGTTTAAAAATTCAATTATTATAATTTCACATTTGTACATTCATCTCTATAAGATTTTCAAAACAAAAAAAATTTTAAATTGTTTTTTGTTTTTTTCTTTTTTTGGGAGGTTGGAAGGCGAGAAGAGAAGGAGAAGGGGATTTGACATATGACATTTAATAGATTTTGATATTAAACAATGAAAAAAAAAAAAAAATTTCTTTTATTATTTTTGAAAACATTTATGAATTACGTGCTTTTAGAACAGTATTACACATTTTTATTACATCAAATGCTTTTCTTCTCTTTGTATCGCTTATTTTTTTTTTTTTAATTTTTAAAAAAGAATTTCTTTCTTTTTTTTTTTTATCAATACAAAATGATTGAATGCTATTTAGTGTACGGTGCAATATTTTATTTCTTCTCTAATAATTGAATAAGTTAACTGATTGAGAATCATCTGCTGTTTTCACTTTTTTTTTTTAATGTTACACTTCTTTTCTTCTTAATTTTTTAAATTTTATGAACATGAAAAAAAAAATGATGATCTTTACTCTAAAATAATCATTATGATGATCATGATCATCTATCATCAGCACATACATTATCAAATTTATTTTTATCAGCTGTAATTATCAACTATTACAGTTATCCTTATCACTATTGTTATCATTAAAGTAATAATTGCTTTAACAATTTCATAAATTCCCGTGACATTCTGTTACTTATTATTTTAATTTTTTTTTTTTCGAAGGGAAAAAAATTTAATAATTTTTTACGCTTTTATCTTCATATTTTATTTTCTTTACTTAAAAATTTATTTTCACTTTCATTTATGCAAGCACTGATTGTTGGTTTTTTGATATTAAAAAAAAAAACATTCTCGAATATTGATGATTGAACTGATTGAGCTGTATTAATGGAAAGAAAAAATCATCATTATCGTTATCATTTATTATCACTATAGTTACAATAATCATTTTATCATTTTATTTTATTTATTTTATTATATATTATTTTAATTATTATTTATTGCTATTATTTACTCCACCGAATTATAATATTATCAATTGAATTATCTTTATCACTATTTTTTTGCATTATTTCATTACTTTTATTACAATTACAATTCAGTAAAGTGATTTAAGAAATAGTAAAAGAAGAAGAAAAGCAAAGATTATTTTTTTTTCTTTTCCTTATTTTTAAATAAATGTCATTTTTAAAATCCGAATAAAATGTTCTTCCAGTGAAGAAAATTTTGTTCCACTTTTAATTTTAAATCATTTATTTACAATATTTCACTTTTTTTTTTCATTATAATTTTTAATCTATAATCATTGTAATATCATTAAATTGAAATCTAAAAATAACAAATGTAATATTTTTATTTTTTGTAATTTTTATTTTAATTTTCGTTTAGTATTAACAATTTTATTTGTAATCAAATGTTTGTACATTCAAAAGCTAAATTATTCGTAGAATTTTTATCCGCTAATAGTCACTGTGAAGAATGGAAGGAAAGGATTATTGATTATATAAATATTTTAATTGCTAAATTTTTTAAATTGTTAAATATATTTAATTTTTTTTAAATGTAAATGTAAAATTAAAGTATTTAAAATATTAAAATTAAAAATGTAGATAAAAGTTAATAAGAGAAAGTCATAAATAGTACAATATTTTGACCGAGGTTTTATCAAATTATATATCAGTATCGTCGTTTGTATGATCAGTATAGTAGATTATCATATTATCATCATTATTATCACTATCATGAGCAAATAATCTTATACATATCACGTAATACCTAATATCACGTGATAACTCTATCACGTGATACAGCAATGAAGAGAGAAGAGGAATTTCTAGAGAACAATATTTATTCAAAGTTTTCATTTTCTTATAATAGTGTCTAAATTATGCATTTTTTTTTCCAAATCTAAAATTTTCTAAAATTTTATCATCTCCTTTTATCATTATCAACGTAAGTATGATCAGTATATTATCATAACAAATCATTATTATCACTATCATAGCAGATAATCTTATCACACCATATTACTATAATTATAATTAACAAAATAGATAATTATTATTATTATCATTTTATCACAAACTTTTTCAGCTGAATATATAATTTACAGTTGTTTATCTGAATTTAAAAAAAAAATTTTTTTTTATCTGAATGAAATTCCAAATTAAAATGCTAGCAGGATGAATTATCATCTCGTAATAATCAAACACATAAAATATAATTGATAAATTCAATAAATGGTTTCGATCACTTCTTATCACTTATCAACAATAATCACTGTTAAATCTTTTCACAATTATCTCCAATAAGATGTATTTATAATTGTTATTGTTTATTGAATAATGAGGAAATTTAAATTGATTACATTGTTATCATTAACTGATAAATAAAATTGATTAAATATGATTGTTAAAGTCCAAAAAACTTGATCAATTATCCAAATCAATGATAATTTAAATATAAATGCTATTTTTTCTTTTTCAAAATATTCTATTTCGTTATCATTCCTACAACTAATGATTGAATCCTTTTTTTTTTGTATTAATTAATTATTTCAATTGAAGTATGAATATTTTATAATATTTAAGTAATTCAATATTGCAATATGATTTTTGTAAAAATTTTAAGTAAAAAAAAATCATTAAGCATTTTTCTTAATAATATAATTTAATTATTAATTGTTGTGTAGGTACAATGATAATTTATCAAATAATATTAAATGAAATTATTAAAAGCATTAAATAATGTTAAATAAACTGTTAACTTACTTACTACTACTACTACTATTATTATTATTATTATTATTATTATTATTATTATTATTATTATTATTATTATTATTATTATTATTATTATTATTATTATTATTATTATTATTATTATTATTATTATTATTATTATTATTATTATTATTATTATTATTATTATTATTATTATTATTATTATTATTATTATTATTATTATTATTATTATTATTATTATTATTATTATTATTATTATTATTATTATTATTATTATTATTATTATTATTATTATTATTATTATTATTATTATTATTATTATTATTATTCATAGCATTTTAATTTTTAAACTTCATATTGGATTATTTGGATGAAAAATAAGAAAAAGTGACAATAAATATTGGATTGGAAATAATTTCAAGATTGTTCATAGCAAGTCATTTTCTTTACTTTTGCAAATATAAAGTTAACTTTTACTTTTATTTTGCTGCTAAACACACATACATACATACACACACACATACATACATACATACATACACACACACATACATACATACATACATTGAGAAATCTAGTTTTCAAGTTTTCTGGTAAAGAATAAATAAAACTTATTTATTTGAAAGATAAGAAAAGTAATGAAAAGCAATAATATTTACACTTACTTTTTACCTTTTAGCTTTCCATTATATCTCAACTTTTAATAATAAACAAATACTTATAGTATTGATTTATTTACTTAATTCTTTACAAAATTAATCACAAAATGATTAAAAAATGAAAACAAAATAGTTTTCATAATTTGAATTTATTTAATTCCCATTAAAGTTTGTAATTTTGATTAAAATTAAAGTATATTTTCAAGAAAAAACAATCATACATATATTTAATTCTACTACTATTAGGATTCATTTAAAATTAATCAATTGGATTTGTATTAAAATTTTATTTTTTGATTAAAATTTGAAGTAATTTATTTACTTTATCAATTCCTAACAAATTAAATTTTAATTGATTTTACTGGGAATCAACTAGAATTTGCTTTCAACTGACTGAATTAATTTTTATATTTGAAATGGATTTTTATTTTGATATAGTTATACTTAAATGAATATCAAATATGCTATCAAGAAAAGTAATAGTAAAAAATTCTACTTTCAGAGTGAAAATAGAAGAAAGTTCATTTCATTAAAATTCTTTCCTCATTTAATCATTTTTGAAAAAAAAAAAAAAAAGCAAAAAGAAATTTTCATTAAATTATCCATTGCTAATTCCATCGGGAATTTACACATCGATTTAATCATTGATATTAAATTACTATTTCACTGAATTCATCCTTCTTTCATCGTCTTTTTATGCATTATATTTTTATGTTTGTTTAAAATTAAGCAAAAATTACGAGAAAATTTTTTCGAATTATTAAAGTTTGCCTTTTTCAATAATATAAATTAATTAATTATTAATATCTATGATATATTAACAGTGAAACTAATACTAAAATTTAATGCTACTTAGTTGTTTGTTAGAATTTAACATGAAAAAAAAAGAAAAAAAAAATTGAAATTGAATTTTGTTTAAATTGGAAAATATGATAAGTTAAAGTTTTGCTATTATTGAAAGGTTCAAAATAAAATAATTTAGATCATTTCAATTATTTAGTCATTTATTTAAATAGTAAAAACGATTAAAAAATTATCAAAACATTTCTTCCTAATACATTTTTTCTCTAAAAGAAAAAAAGTTTACTTTAACATTTTTAAAAATTCTGCTAATATTTATTGATTAATATTAAAAACTTCAATTTTTTAATTAAAAAAAAGAATAAATGAATGATTTGCAAATTTTATAGTAGTACTTGTATTAATATTTTTTTCAGTTATTTATATGAGATAATTACATTGTTTACTTACAGTTAGATTAAAATTAATGATTAAAACAAATTAAAATGAAATAAATAACCTAACATTTAGCTTGTAATTTTGATATTCTAAAATTTTTAAAAAATAAACGAATTCAACATTTAATACTTTTCTATCATTTTAATTTTATTTTAGAGAAAATGCAATAATATTCAATTATTTTATCACATAATTCATCCATTTTATCTTTTTTATCAGTCAAGTGATATATGTATCAATCAAAAGATTTATGCAATATCATTTTATCAGAGCAAAACAAAAAGAACTGATCATAGCTTTTTTTTCATTTTATCACATAACCCATTTATTTTTTACTCTAATTTAACTCTCTTATCTTAATTTTACTTTAATTTAATGCTATCATAATGCTTGTAATATCATCTAATCAGTTCATAAACACGTTATCATCTTATCAATTAGTACAATATCATTTTATCAGTTAATAAATACATTATCATCTTATCATTTTATCAGTTGGCGCAATTTTTCCATATAGTTTCATTAAATTTTTGGTTTTTTCTTTTGTTGTACTTTTTCTTCTATTTAAATCAACATTTATATTCATATGTGAGATGATTTTTCCATTTTTCAGCAATTATTTTTTCTTTTTTTTTCTTTTATTCTTTCCCCCTCTCTCTCTCTCTCTCTCTCTCTCTCTCTCACAGATTAACTTTAAATTCTTCAGTACATTTAACAGTATAATTTTCATGTAATCAGCATCTTTTTTCTAATCAGCTGTGAAATTTAAATTGTAATTTTAATCAGTTATGAAAATTAACTTGTAAAGAGTGATGAGAGACAAAAAAGGGAGAGAGAGAGAGAGGGAGAGAGAAAGAGAGAGAAAAGAAACTAATTTAGCATTTTTATCACTATGCTTCTAACAATCAATATTGTCACAAACTTTTAAAAAAAAAAAATGATTTGTAAAGCGTATAGAAATTCTTCAATGTGTCATAAGTCTTTCACTACCTCTCTCCCTCTCTCTCTCCCTCTTTCTTCCCTCTTTCTTCTTATCTCTGTCTCTCTCTCTCTCTCTCTTTAAATGTAATTTTTGTATTGTAAACAATAAATTTCATAGAATTGCTTTTTCTGCAATGACATTTCATTTTACGTTTACTTCCCAGAAAAAAAAAAAAAAGGAAAAAAAAATTTTACCTTTATCTTTCATTTGAACGAATTTTAGAAATTAAATTAAATTAATACAAATTCACTTTTAATTTTTTTTTTTTTTTTTTAGAAAAATTATTCATTTTTAATAATTTGAAAATTTTGATTTATTTATTTTAGATTTATTATTATATTTATTTATTATTTATTTTAGAATAATTTTGAATGGCATTTATTAATTTATTTATTATTACTTAATTGTTAATGCTTCTTTCTTCATACTTTAGCAAGCTTTAACCATTGAAATTTTGAAACGAAACAACTTTTTTACATTTATTGCATTTCCAAATTAATTTTTTCATATAATTTAATTCATTTAACTTTGAAAAATCAATTCAAAAATTAATAATTTCATTCATAGAATTAATTATGATAATTATATCAGTTATCAAAATTTATCTGATCTAAATAATATCTATTGATTAATTTCAATTCAAATTAATTAATTCAATCTTTCTTTTGCATTTATATTTCGTTCACAAATTATTTGAAATTACAAAAATGTTTTGAATATAATAGCCATTCAATTTATTTCATTTTTTTTTTAATCAATCAATAAAATATTCATTGTACAAAATTTTTGCTCATTCAATTTAAAAAAAAAAAAAATTTCAATGTAAAATTTTCTAATTTATATTTTAATCATTTGAAATTAACTTATGCTATTACATTTGTTTGTCATATTTTTATAAAAATAAATTAATATCATTTTCCAGAATTTTTGTTCTTTGAATTCGAAATTTATTCATCTACGAAAAATTTTTACGTAGTTTACGTGCGTGAAATGCTTGCAAAATTTCGCCAATATTTTATTCAAACTTATACACAATTATCATCTATGTTGGCATTACGTGAAAATATTCCATCATTTTCCTTGCGCTTTTGCAATACGAAATCAGATTTCCGGATAAATGAATTTACTGATAAATATTTAAGTCATCGAAAGGTTTCTTTTTTTTTAAATAATTTTAATATAAAATTAAATGCATAACTATTGCGTGGCGCATTTGTCTAATCAAAAGTTTGCAAAATGGAAAATAATTTCATTCAATTTAATTCATATATTATTCAATTCTATCATTTTTTAATAGAGATAATTAGCTATTTCAGAATTTTTTTTTAATTAAATTTTTAAAATCAAAACAAAAATTAGTATGAAATAACTGGATCTAATTATCCAAAAAAAAAAAAATAATAATAAATAAATAAATTTGAAAAAAAAATCGAAAGTCTTTTAAAATAATCGAAATTGTTTTTTTTTTTTAGAAAAAAAAAATGAAACCTAAAATTTAAATGTAACGTTTGTTTTTTTTTTCTTTTTGTTTTTAGGCTGAATTTACTGAAAAATTAGAAATTATCTCTTCTACTTATCAACCAACAATTCCAATATATCGGGTAACAAATTCCGAAGGACAATTTATTGATCCTAATTATGATCTTGATTTAACAAAAGTAAAATTTTACTAAACATGAAATATAATTACAAAAAAAAAAGAAAAATAAAAATAAATAAATAAGTAAATAAACTTCTAATTAACTATTTTTCAAATGTCTATTAAAAATTTCAAAATCTTTTAAAATTTTGATTTCCTCTTTCTATGGAGTGAGAAAAATTTGAAACCTTTAATGAAATTTCACTTTTTTTTAGCCATTAATAAATTATATTAATAACAATTAATTGCTAATTAATTATTAATCATACAAATTTCAAAAGGAAATAGCAATAAAAATGTATCAAAATATGATAACACTTCATCAAATGGATAAAATTTTATACGATTCACAACGTCAAGGACGCATTTCATTTTATTTGACAAATACCGGTGAAGAGGTTTACCTTTTTGTTTTTCTTTTCTATTCTTTGTATTAAAAATTAATTAATAATTGTTAAATTAAAATTGCAATACAATAATTTTCTCTCTTCTTCATAAATTATTATTGTTTACATTTTCAATGAATAGTTTTGCATAATTTTAACAAACAGAATAGTATATAATTATAGAATTTTATTTCATTAAAAATATAATTTCATTTATTATTTATTTTTTTTTTTTTTTGAAAAAAAGATAAAATTTATAAAATTTTAATCAGATGAAAATTCACTGTTTTGTGATGAATAAAACAAACAAACAAACAAATAAAGAAATAAAGAAAGAAAGAAAAGAAAGGAGAGCAAATTTTGTAATTAATTTTAAAATGATCTAAATTTAATTTAATAGAAAAAATGTTAATCAAGCATTTTTTTTAAGCAATTTTTTTTAAGGCTGCACAAATTGGCTCAACAGCAGCTTTAGAAGATACAGATCTAATCTATGGCCAATATCGTGAAACTGGCTCATTACTATATCGAGGCTTTCCTTTGGAAAATTTTATGCATCAATGTTATGGAAATGCTAAAGATATTGGTAAAATTAAAAATATTAACCTTTGATAATCTTTTCTTCCTCTCTCTCTCTCTCTCTCTCTCAGTCAAATTTTATTAAATTTAACAATTAACAATTAAATAGAAAGTATAAATTTAACAAATAATAAATAACAAATTAACAGTTAAAAAAAAAAATGAAATAATATAACAGTTGTTAATTTTACTTTTAATTTATAGTATAGATATTAGAAGAATTAATTTAATTTTTGTTTTATGATTAATTTAATAATTAATAGTTTATTTGAAGCATTTTTTTTAAAGAAAAAAAAACGAGGAGAAAGTTTTATTTAAGGTGGTGGAAAACAAATGCCAATACATTATGGCTCATCAGAACATCATTTTGTGACAATTTCATCAACATTAGCTACACAATTACCACAAGCTGTTGGTTCTGCTTATGCATTTAAAAGGTTCAATTAAATTTATAAATTGAAAAAAAAAAAAAACACTTTTTTTTTTAACAAAATAAAAATAATTTAATCAATTTACTAATTTATATAATTTATTTAGCTCAAATTATAATAAGTGATAAGTGTGATTATAATAACTGTAATAAATCTTCATAGAATTGTTATTGATACTATTAATTATTATTTAGTTTTTTTTTCTTCTTTTTTTTTAAGATTTGTATTTGCTTATAAGATAATGCAAAAAATTTTTCACACTGGTATGCTGATAAGTACTCGTTTTTTTTTTTTTATTAAGTAACAGAATTCAGAATGTCAAATTGTAATATTAAAATACTTATCGCCATGTCTTCAGGAACCTAATTGAATTTCCGGAAATATATTATTTCCGGAAAGATACTAATCAGTGTATGTGTATTTTTAGAGAGAAAAATGGACGAATAGTGTTAGCATATTTTGGTGAAGGTGCAGCATCAGAAGGTGATGCACATGGTGCAATGAATATGGCTTCGACGCTTGTTAGTGATAAAATTTAACAATTTAGGAAGTAATTTAATTTATACAATTAATTATTTAAAATCAAAGTTAAGTTTATTTATTTTTTAAAAATTTGATATTCAGATAGAAATTAGATGAACAAATGTAATACAGAAATTATTTATTTGAAATTTTTTTTTTTTTTTTGGTAAGAGTAAATAATTATTTGTTTATGGAAAAATTTGGAGTAAGTTTCAATCAATTTATAAATAATTTTATTAAAAAAAATTTCAGAAATGTCCAGTAATATTTTTTTGCCGTAATAATGGTTATGCAATTAGTACACCAACAACGGAACAATACGGTGGTGATGGTATTGCTGGTAAAGCTATTGGATACGGTATTCATGTGATACGGTATCTCCTTTACAGTCTCTCATTCATTTATTTACTTTTTTTTTTGATTTAACAAATAATTAATTCTTCTAATGTCTAACACTTTTTTCTTCCTTTTTATCTTAAAAATGAATTTATTTATTATTAAAATAACTTTTAAGAAATTAAATTGTTTATTAGAGAAATAGAATAATCATTGTTTGATAAAAGATAAATGTTGAATAAAATAACAATGTTGCAAAGTAAATAAAGAAAGAAATTATTAATTAATTAATTAATTAAAAAATTAACATATAGAGTTGACGGTAATGATTTGATTGCTGTATATAATGCAACAAAAGCAGCCAGACAAATGGCAATGGAAAATGAGCCAATTCTTATTGAAGCTATGACATATCGTTTAGGACATCATTCAACGTCTGATGATTCAACTGCTTATCGGTAATATTAAATTTAAATGCTAATAGTAAATTTACATTTCTATCTCAATCTTATCAATTATCTATCTATTTAATTGATTGATTGATTGATTGATTGATCAGTAATATTTATAGTTCAAATGAAGAAGTTAACATTTGGCAACAGAATGATAATCCAATCATTCGATTTCGTACAGTTCTTCAAAATATGGAATGGTGGAATGATGAAGAAGAAATGGCATATCGGCAAAAAGTAAGTAATTCAAGGAAGGAGTTTTTTCTTTTTTTTTTCTCTCAAATTTATGAAAGATTTCTGTTTTAAAATGATTTTTGTCAAATTTATGAAATATTTTAGCTTTAAAATGATGTGTATTTTTTAGGCACAGAAAGAAATTATGAAGGCATTTTTGTATGCCGAAAAAATACCAAAACCAAATATTTTAAGTATGTTTGATGATGTTTACAAGGTAAGAATAAATTTATAGCAAATTTTTAATCAATAATTTCATATCTAAATTTGACTAAAATGTTATAATGAAGAAAAATACAAATTACTGCTTTGAGTATTTGATGAGTTAAAAGATGTGTTAAAAATTGGAACATTTAAAACATCTAAATGCATCAACCTAATTATTTAACTTATTTTTAAATTCCTATTTTTAAATTCATATATTTGCTATCATAATTTTTTGCATAATTTACAGGAAATGCCGAAAAATTTACAAGAGCAACGTGACGAACTTGCAGAGCATTTGAATAATTATGGAAGATACTATCCAATGAAAAATTTCGAAGGCACTTAAACTTTTTTTTTCTCTCTTTTAGCAATATAAATACTAAGACTTTTAAAAAATTTTTAGTAATATGAAATTAAAGCTCATAATTCAATTCCAATAAAATTTTTAACAAACGAAAAATTGATGAAACTTTTCTTGTGTTTAGTAATCTACATTAATCTCTTCTCCCATAATATGAGAAAATCAATTTGTTGAGCTCTTACAATCATTTAATTCTGAAAACTTTAAGTGCAATCTATTTTTATCACTTATAATGCTTATCTAATAGCGCAAATATTCTTTAATGCTATATATGTGCAAAAATTCCTATAATTTCTATAATATATCAATTACTAATTTTTCTTCTCGCTTAATCTAAAACACTGCAAAATCATTTTTCCAAATTGTTAGCATAGATAAATGTATCATTTCTATATTATTAAAATAAGACCTATGTGTGAAATTCATAAATTGCAGTGAAGTAATCCATAAAACTACAAGATAGAACGTGTACCCCTTCTTCTACTACATACTAAAACATTGTTATCTGCTGATAAACACTGATATTGCAAATAACATCCAATCAGTCCTTCACCTTATTTAAGTTGAATTTAACACAATGCTTACCGGTGCAATTGTTGGTTTTGAAATACATTTATTTACTCTCTCAACGGAAAACTTTTCTACCGAACACAACAGTTATGCATAGTATTTTGTGCGCATTCAATACTATAATTTGGGGGAATTTTTTTTTTTTTTTTTTTTTTTTTGAGATAATCACAATATACATGCCACCTCAAACTTAGATTGCGATAGTTTCATTGAATACATGAAAGAAGTAAACCATATATAGCACACGTGTCACAATGTTCATTCAAAGTTCAAATCAGATTTTTTTTTTTCTGGGGATTTGAGAGACAGAGAGGGAGAGAGAGAGAAATTAAAAGAAAATAAAGAGCATGATACAACTCAAGTATTGATTTGAAAAGAAATCAAAAAACTAGAGTGAAATATGACTGTTATATTTCACAGCCAATGGTTAAAACAAAGAATAAGATAGAACTGCATTTTTACAGTCATGAAACTGAACATTAGCGTTCCATTATTCTGCATCATTTTTGGTGACCGCTAGAATCAAATGAGTTTAATCTTCGCACCATGCATTTTCCTTTCGAATCTGCAAAATATAATCTATTAAACTTGTAAGTGTATCAGAACAAATTAATCACTTGAAGTATACTGAAAAAAACTTCAAAAAATTGCTTTCTTTTTTTTTAAAATTGCTTTTAAACCTCAGAATTTTATTAAAAGAATGAATCAGCAAGTCGAAGAGAAGATTGGATACATTAAGAACTGACTAAACTATCGACATAATGTGCGATTTAGGAATTCTTTATGACGATAGTTTGAGTGAAATAAAAAACTCTCAATAAATTTAAAGCCTTGGAAAAGTGGAGAAGAATAATATGAACACAAGACTGGTCCTCAAAATGAAATACGCATCATGCTTTTTATAGTAAAACGACAAATAAAAAAAACTGATAATACTGTGCGAAAAGAAATCAATTTTCTCAAATATTAGAAAGATAACTTAAAATCTCTTAACCTGTTCTTCCTCTTCTGGAGTGAAGTCGTTTTTAATGTTAAAAGTCCTTCGAATCTCCTCCGGTGACTTGCCTTTAATCATATTGGCTACCGTCTTGCATGTTACATCGAGCAGCCCCTTTATGTCCAAATAATTTGCTGCCTGAAATAAATTTATATATTTTCTATAAAGATATTTATTTTTCCTTGTTTGCTTAAGCAGATAACTCAACAATCAATCCGATGAAAGGAACTAAAAACTTGCCAGAATGAGTTCAAATAATGTGCCCTGATCAACTTTAAGAAATTCAACATCCCACGATGAAATGTCGTCAGTGCGCTTCTCCTTGTTATCATTATCTTCTGGGGGAATCGGATCATCTTTATGGTATTCACACCAGTGAATAACCTATGATAATGTCATCGTACAAATGAATAAATAAATAAACAGATAAATAAGAAAATTTAGGACCAACTAAACTTCTTTTAAACTCTGAGATGTGAGCAAATGAACACCAGGCACGTCGCAAATTCCGGCTATATATAATGAACTGATATTCACATTTTTTTAAGCATGTAATTTCGGCGGGCTTATAAGGGCGAGGAGAAATTTCACAAAAATTATCATGAAGTCTCCTCAACTTACAATTTGTGACAAATTCGGATCGATTTTTACGCATAAATATGTTCGTTAACCTATGAACATGTTTATGTGTCTTTCATATATTACAAATATTTTCAAATACATTTTTCTAAATATGATATTAATAATTTTGAAAATGCTTTTCTTCTTCTCAACCTTTTTCAGAATAGCTGAGTTCACGCTTTGTAACGGAATACCCTCAACCATATCAATATCTCCGCCATCTTGATTATCCATTCCCAAATCTATAATTAAATTAAATATGCATGTCAAGAATTGCAATGTGAGATGTTCGAAACAAAAACTAGGTGTAATACATGCACGTCAAAAATCTATTATATAAGCTCTAAAATTCATAGAATGAAAATGATTTTGCGGAAAAACTGAGATGGAAATCGTCTGTTATATATCTCTAATTTTGGCATTCGACTAGCGAGGGTTTGACTAATTCATTGCCATTTATTATCACTTCACCTTGAAGCATCGTATTGATCGTGGTTGACAATCGGATCACATTCCGATCCACTTCGAATGTCTCATTATCAGATGATATTAGTGAAATTTTCTGTTGTGCGGGTTTCTGTTCACTCATTTTGACCAATAAAACAATGATATTGCGGACTTGGTGATAACGCCTGGAAATTTATTTTCTTCGTGAAGCCTTAAAAACTTCAATATTTTTGCCGAACTATAAAAGAATGTCCAACGACGAGCATTCTTCTCCACCGAAAAAAAAAAACATTAGGAATGACAAAAACTATTTTAGACCTGCTTTACTGTTTGCAATTAAATCAATTACATTTTCTTGAATTCGAGCCAATCATAAAAAGTCATAGTCATTATGTTCCGAAAAAAGAAACAAATAAATAAATAAAAAAAGTCGTGATAGGGAAGAAGTGCAGAACAACAGATGTTTCCGATTCGCAATGAATGACGAAGTTGTTCTTTCGATTAATTGATCAAGATTTTACTCTTTTGATCAGATCAAGCTTGAACCAAAGGAAGTGTTTTGAAAGTGCTCGAACTAGACAAAATGATTTCTTCTGAGTGTAAAAAATTGAACAATGTCAGTATGAAACATATTACAGTGAATCACTGGACAATGCAGCAACATTAGAAACTGAAAACCTTCATACACTTCATACAGACATGTTCAAATAGATATTTACAATTTTCACAATCAACAACGAGTGCCTTCAAACTATTTTTTCCTTCACATTTTACATTTACAAACATCTATAGAAATTTCTTACAGCCCAGAACCATCAAAATATTCAGAATCCGAAAACCTACCCAAAAGAAACATATTAAATGCTAATCAAGAACTCAAAACCCTATTCAAATAAAATAATATTAAGCAGTGAAATTTATTTCCACAGAGCTCACAACTATATAATGATTGAATAACAATACATACTTTATATACAATATGTATTCACATAACAATTCCAATTAGTGTAACAAGAAATGTAATCGATGCGACAAAATTGGTAATTCATTTTGCGTTCTTCATTTATCGCATAAATTCCATTTCTAATAGCTCTCCACTTCAATTCAACATAATCCTTACAGTAAGCCAAAGTATACTCTCACCTTTGACCTCCCTCCCCGTCCTTCACCTACCCCAACTCAGAGCACCAGGAACTCTCGAACTACCCTTCCTGCTTCAACTCTTCATCTCGCCTCCTTAATAGTCACAGAATCGTTCGCTACCGTATTCAAACTTAAACTTACGTGACTACAACAAATCGTTGTAGCACAAATTCTTATTGTGTTCACGCAACGTAGGATGTGTTTACGTTACTACGTCACTTAAAGGAATAATTGGCATGACGTAATCCACCCAGGCGAAGTACAAGAAAAGAAAAGTCCTTCAAGACTAATTAAAATGAAACTATTTACCAACTCGCCAGTCAGATATTCATCTTGATCTTTTCTTTCCTGCACGAGCATAAGTTCAGTTCTTCGTTCTAGAGTAATAACCTCTTGACCTCCGACCTCTGATTTTTTCTACAGACAAATAAACTTATTGCAAAAATCTTGATAAACATATACTTGCTGAAGAATAAAGTTTTTGAAATTATTTGTCCAGACAGGAAATTTTTATGAATATCCAAATATCCGGGAAAAAAGGATAATCTCTGAACCACCGCAGAAGATGATAAGGACTGATATGATAGATGTTAGCAAGTGATAAATATTATAACAAAGATGTTTTAAGTGTTTTTTTTATAAGACACAATTGTAAGATAATAACAAACTAACTGTTTAGCTTGATAATTATAAATTAATTCTTCAGTCTAATCAAACTTTTATTTTTACTTTCTTTTCTTTTTTTTTTTTTTTTGCTCTTTGTAAACTCAAATTTTTATGCAAAATGATAATCAGTCGTTACATATGTAATATTTATGGAACATAATGTGCACAATAGATTTTAATGTTTATTAAAATGTCATCATAAAATTCAAAGTATTTACTGTTGAAATGATAAGAAATGAAATGAGTTAATTTCATTGAAGTTTTTTTTTTTCAATCAGACAAGTTAAAATTATTTAATTTAGAGTTATACAGACAATTTCTTCAAATATTATCTTATCATGATTAAAGCTAATAATAATTTTTACTTGCAACTTTAGAACAAATATTCACTGAAATAATTTATCTAAAATAAAATATCATGTATAACTTCAATTATTTTTCCAAAAAAAAAAAACTTTTTTTAGAATGTTCAAATTGTAAAGTAGAAAAGAACGTTTCACATTATTTAATCAATAACATTCTTAGGTTTTACAGTAATTTTGACTTCAAAAAATAAAAAAGGCAAAAAACACATTTGAGTAAGGATATATTTTATTTTCATTGCATAAAAATTTATGTTCATTAGAAATTGATTTATTAGAATAAATTATCATGCTCTACAATACCGTCTTAATCTATCCAAATTTAAATTTTCCAGCCTAGATCCCGTGCAATTTAATTTCCTGCAGAATGATTAGCTTAATCTATTAAACCTATACCAAAAATCTATATTAAATCAACATTTCTTGTTCATATAACTTACTTTTAGTACATTTCTATTAGTCTATTAATTATTTCTTCTTGTAGCCTAGGCTCTTCACGTCATTTTTAAATATGTAAATGATACTGAAATTGTGAAATGTGAAAAATCTTATGAAGTTACCTGACATAACTTTTACTTGAACTCATCGTTCATCTAATTTTTTCCATTACCAACTGAAAAGCAATTATTTGATGGCTTTTGAAGAAACACAATTTTTACTGCAAAAATAAATGATTTCAATATATGTGAAATTAACATAATTAAAAGGATTAAAAAATTGATTAATAATTAATAAATTTCACTAAATAAAAATACGACCATATAATTGAATCCTCAACTTAACTAATAACCATAATCAATTAAATTCAACTAGGTTAAATTAAACTAACAAAAAAAAAAAAAAAATAGTACTATCATCTTCATTTATCTCTACAAGAAACATTGCATTATAAAATAATAACTGAAACATTAATAAATATATTAAACTTCTTATTATTGTCATTATATGTTAATCAATAATTGCTCCTCTTTCTCAATTGTATGAATCAATTATAATTATTATTGAATAATTCAAATTTAAAACTTCATCAATTCTCCCTTTCCCTTTCTCTTTCTTTCTCTCCCACTCCCTCTCTCTTACTTACTTCAAAGTAACTAGTTTAATTTAATAAATTTCACTAATTAAAAAATATCATCCAAACATACAGAATTCTCTGTATAGAAAAATTCTTCTATAAACTCTTATTTGATTATATTTCTACTATTTGCTTCTATTAAATCGAATTAAAATTTAAAATTTACAGTCGAAGTGATAAAATTATATTTCAACGTAAAGCAATTACAAATAAGTCATTGTTACAATGTAAACTAAAATTGTTTGTTTCATTTTCAATTTAAACAAAATTAAATAATTTTTTCTTTTTTCTCGGCAATTCATTTCTTCTTCAATGGATCACTTAATCACTTCCGATACCAAGAAATGTGCTTATAATAAAGTTTCCCCACGTAAGTTACGACGACCACATAGCGGCTCGTACGTCAAATGAACGTCATATTGCGCAAATGACATTGTTCGGTTATTGTTGGCACTTTTTGAATTTCGTTTTTTTGCCTCGTAAACTTTAAAATCACTTTGCTTACTTTTACTTTTTATTTACCTCTACTTTTACTTATTTTTACTTACTTACTTTTACTTCAAACTACTTTGCTTTACCAAATTTCGAAAAACAAATGTTAATTACAAAACTGACACAACAGTTGGAAGATTTAGTTTGTAAAGACAAGAGATTAAGAGTGACGGTGGTATGAAAAAAAAAAACGAAAAGTGCTTGGTGACACTTTATAAATAATAAATGTGATAAAGTGACCTTCTGGACATGAGATAATTATAAAAGTTTCAACTTATAGGAATATGCAAAAAGTGAAAAACGCAAAAAAAGGGAAAAAACATGTCATTTGACAAATTCGCAATGCTAAAAGAAATTCTGCGTAATAGTTGTTAAGTTGTAAGTTTCAGTTGTGCGTTATTTCACTTTATTTTTCTTTTAAAGGTATAATTTCGAATGTATTGTAATGGTGAGGAAAATTGTACTGAAGGAGATGAAAGCCGTGCTGAACAATGGGTAAGTTGAAATTTAAGAAATTAATAAGCTCTTTTTTCACGAAAGAAGAAACATGTATATTCGAATTTTGATTGATATAATCTTTGAATTGTGTCTCTGCAAAATAGAACATTAAGGCATTCATTCGTTATTTTGAAATTTTTTTTTTCCTAAAGTTTTTGGATCAAAGTAAGTAATCAGACCGTTATTTAAAATATAATATTTGGCAAGTTATATTTCATATGTAGTGACTTTACAAAAATTTGGTGTTTTGTAAATTGAACTAGAAAGTTGTCTGAATATTTTTAAATAGTTGTAACTGTTTGTAATAGCACTATCAATACAATTTCATTCGTTTACCATTGTTTTGCTTCGTTATTACTAACTTCGTCCTATAAGATAATTTTGTTCAATTTTCAGCAGAATTACATGAAAACGAAAAAAGCTAAACTTCAGTATCAGGTAAATGTATTGGATAAGCACGAGAATATTTCCTGTATTTTTAAAGGCATCTCAATTTTCGTTAATGGTTATACAGGTGATTCTTTTTATTCTTTCCTAGAGAAATGAGAGGCAACATTGTTTGTTGAAAACTATGATGACGAATGGAAATCACGAGAGTAGTTTCTTACGGATGAGTTAAAATACGGACGTGTACACTTTCCGTAGACGTGCTAATACAAAAAAAATCCAAAGCAATTTGTTGGTGTTTATATAGGTTGATAGTAAATAGACTGAAAGCAATAATACGCGATAGTGTTTTTATAGGAAAAAACCGGATAATTTTTTGAATTCCGTACGTACTTATAATATTCACAGATGACATTGTTCCTCTTATTAAAATCTATATATATATGTACAGATGAATTTCCAAAACGTAATGTGTGCAAAAATTTAGATCCACCAGCAGCAGAATTACGAAAGTTAATA